AGTCAGGACATTCCCTGTTCTCCCTCTGTGCTGCCATGCTCTTCTTTCTGTTCTCTGTTACTGTCTTTTTTTTAAGTACATGCATTATTCTTTGGTCATTAGCAATCACAGCTGGAAAGACCTGAACTTGATTTCCATTTCTCTCTCCAACTGCGGGGACACCTTCTGTAACCTCTCTTGCTGTGGGGACTGTGACTTTCTAGTCTTGGTGAGCTGAAGCACATTTTGTGGTAGCACAATGTGCCTCCAGCCACCTGGCAGCCAAAACAGCCCTCAGAGATGAGTCAGCAGCTGTTCCCGGTGTGCAAGTATTCTTGTTTTCAGTGAATAAATAAAAACTCAACAACTTACTGCTGGTACTTGTATTAGTCATTAAAGAAAGAATGATGTTTTTATGTGCATATATGCCAGTATTCTTTTGGTAAAATATTGCTATTTATGTTAGTATTTTAATCCTTCCAGTTAAGATAGGATCAAAATTTGACCCTTAACGATCTCTAAACTGTGAAGTAAAGTCAAAAGTTGCCCATAAGCTGAGGAGGGCAGGCAGGTGCACAGTTCTTTATATGTGATAGGAGTGTGCTATATCCACGTATAGTATGTGCATATATGATGAACATATTCTTTATTTTTCAAGGATAGTAATGGCTCTTTTGTCAGATGATATAGAGTTAATCTTTTAAACGTTTATGCCCAAGGACTCAAGGAGCTGGCACAGGGACAAAGTTTTCTTTAAGTTGTATTACCTGTACTGATTTTCCTTTGAGCACCATGTTCAAGGGCTTGGAAGGAGTAAAAAACTTTTGATATCTGGAGTGCTGTTCGACAGATGGATGTCTGTATACTGATGGCATAAAACATATTAGGAGTATTAACTCTGAGGAGGGAATAAATGTCAGGTCAGTTGTGCTCCCTTTAATTTGCTTCCAGGAAAATTGTTGTCACTTTTTTGTTTACCAGTTTTCTGGCTTTTGTCAGCGCAGCTCATGGTGTAGGCTTTGCTAGTGTGCTGTTGGTGCTGCACGGGACACTTTTCCTGTAAAATGCTCTTTCCTTGTGACTCATTGAAGCATTCATGCTAACATCTCAGACAGACAGTCTCTTAAGGATATCCCTTTAAAAAGCAGCTGCAATAGGAAATGTTTTTATGTGTTTCCAGCTTTGTGTTGACTTACTGTTTTCACAACTCTAGTCTTGGTTAATGTAGAGGGCAGAAAGTGCTTCTTTTGGTCTGAGGGAAGAAAGTTCAAAATGTTTGTTGTGCTTCTGCTGTATGCAAGTAGCAAAGTGTTCATCTCTGATACTGTGTTGTAGCAGTGAGTCTGAGTGTTGAAATGATCTGATGTGGGTTAAATCACTGTAGCTAGGTTTAGGAAAAATATTGTCTTGCACTGCAATGGTCCTGAGTCTGAGGAGACTGTAAGGATTTACTTATTTACTTGAAACATACCACATCTGAAAAAAATTAGATGCAGAATTCATGGAGTAATTCTCCTGGTTTTTCTGCCCTTCCTGGCAGCTGAGTTATACCACAAACACCAAAAACAAATCTATAAACTTGTCTCCCCAAAAACCCCACCAAAGGGAAAACCACCAGTTCTGAGATATTTGAGTATTTTGGTTTTGGCAAAGGCATTTCTAGGGAAAAGCTCCTGAAACTTGTGAAAAGTACTTTTTTTAGTCTCAGAAGTTCTTTCCATAAATTGGTTTATCTATCTCTGTTGCAAATTATATCTACCATTTCCATTCTGTGGCTCTTATCCCACACTGAATTGGTGCCACAGAGAGCAGATCAGCCCTGAAATGAAACCATAATTATGAAAGCCCTGTTAGCTAGGCTTGCCCCTGATGGAAGCAGTCCATCTTGCTCTTCTCCTGAGGCCACCTTGCCGTTGTGCTGGCACAAGCAGCAATTTGACTATGTGATGGCGTGGATCAGATGAGTTAGGATGGCCTGATCAATAGTAAAAGTAGCTTTTTTTGACAGTTCTGGCCTTGATCATTTTCCTGCTCTGTTTCCCTTTCCAGTAGCAACGCGAGTGAGGACAATGCAAGCAGACCACTTCAGTCTGCAAGCCAGTGAAAGTGTGTGTGAGCTACGACTCCATGGAAGGAAATGCTGGCTAAATATGGACCCAGAAGGCCTGTGGTCAAAGCATAAAACCTAGAAAGTTGTCCTTGGCCTGCTGGAAGGTTGTAGGCAGTGAGTTGTCTCATGCTCAGTTTTTTTCACTTCAAAACAGAATGAATGATGCCAATATCCTTCATAAAGTTGTTTGAGATCTTAGTTTTTGTAAGCAGGGGGAAGCAGGTCGAAATGGTTCTTACTGAGTTCTTCTTTGTATGAAAATCTCAATGAGTGTCTCCTGCAAATAATGAGAAACACTTTAAACTGGAGAAAAAAGAAAATGCTTTACCAAAAAAGTAGCTCAAGTAGGCAGTGAAATTAACACAGTAGAGTGTGAAGTTTTGAAAAGTTTAGCATTTTAGCATTAGTGCTTTTTAACTTCAGAATTACTTTTTAATGTTAGAATTAGTGCTTGTGATACCACATCCTATTTGCTGTCCTGCATATCTGTAAGTATTCTGAAAATAGAGATCTAACAAAAAACAGGAGGAGAGGCTCTGTCCTTCCTCTGTTTTTCCCTTCTTTACCTATCATAGCAAATAACAGTTGTTTTTTCTGAGATGCCATTTAAAACTGCAGGAGACAGAATATTCAGAAATCTGCTGTGGTTTGTGAAAAGCAGTCTCCTACATGAACTGGGACATTAAATACCAGGATTTTTCCACATAGTTGTCCTTCTGACAGGGTGGTGTAGTAGAAATTGCAGATACCAAATCAGCTGAGATGTATTTCAAGTTTAGCATCTTTAATCATGATTTTGAATCTCTATTACCAGTTCCCTGTAATACACTTATCTTCTCTTTTGTCTGCCAATGAAATGAGATAATTTGCCAAAGTAACCAGATTCCTTTTGGAGCATCCGTAGTATGTTTGTCCACTCTGCTCTCCAAGTATAGTTCAGTGTTTGCAGTAATTGCAGACGAAGGTCTTGTGTTTGCATGCTGCTTCATTGACATGTTACCATGAAGATCTAAAGGAGCATTCAGCATAAGCCATAATGACTTGATAAATGCATGGTATCTAGATGCCGTCAGAACATTTTGGTCCAAATGTATGCTTGAGCAGGTTTGAAAGTGTGGAGGAGGGTGAAAAAGGTCTCTGGAGTTTGACAAGGAAGGACAAGCCTGGTCAAACTGAGAAGCAAGCAGCAAAACAGAGAGCATCTTGCTTTCTGAGGACAATTTAGATGTTTGTAACCCAGCTCTAGAGGATAGTGTATAAAGACCTTTTTCATGTAAACTTAGCCATGTTTTGGCAGTCTGTATGGACTGAACCCTTTGGACTGGTTCCTTAGAATTAGATGATACCAAGCTCTTGAGTTGCCATCTGTGGCACATGCACCAAGCACGATAGTGTTAAAATGTGTGATTAGATCTGTGTGAACTCTTCTAAAACCAGGAGACAAATAGGTAAGACTTGAGGTGAAGAACGAACCACTGCTAAGATGAAAGATGAGCACAGGTTTTCTGAAGCCGTTTCAGTACGTAGCTGTGATACAAATGGCACAGACCTATTTGTGCCTAAATATGAATATAACTTAATATTTGGGATGGCTTTGGAGAGCTCATCTCTAATACACTAACCCCCGTTGCAGCTCTCCCCTATTTGTGATTACATAAAGAACGCCTTACAACCACGTTGTTCTGCCCTGTTGAGCTAATCTAAGTTGAAACATCTTGTTCATATAATGTGCTTCAGTGCTCTTTTATGAACTCCTGTGTACTGAAGCAAAGTTGTTGGAAGTCAGTCTTCTGATTCCTTGTCTGCTGGGGATTGGGGGAGGGGGGAATCGGGACTGCTTTGTTTTGTTTTCCAGAAATGATCAGTCCTGCTTAACAAATATGGAATTCTGGATGAGAAAACAAAGCCTGACTTCTAATGGAGAGCTGGTTATTGAGGTGAAATAGTATCCCAGGGTGAGCAATGTAAAGAGAAACCCACCTGTTTGTGTGAGATGTCATTAAAGTGCGGGAAGGTGGGGGTATAATGTGAGCCACTTTTGCAAGGTGATTACACATAACAAAAGAAGGGACAGTGTCCCTGCCCCAGAGCTGCATTATAGAGTGCTGTGTCCCCCTGAAACTCAACTCCCATGTTTCTTCCCTGACAATGGGACCTGAAATAACCTCTTGGTTTTGGTTTTTTGTGTGTTTTCAAGTATGTTCTTGCTTAAGGTTTAATTGGCTCCAGTCAGTAGGAAAGGGCTCCAAGGCTGATTATTTATGGCTTACTGTCAAAAGTGGCTATAAAAAGGGCAGTATTATCTTGGAGATGCTGGGAAGGAAAATGTGGTGGGGGGAGGGTGGGGGAGTGTGTGTGTGCACGAATGTGTTTTCTTGTACTAGATGAAATCAGAGTTTTGCTGTCTCAGCAGTGTGGTTTAAATTGAAGATTAACCCTTTGACCTTCACGGTGTCAAATCACTTACAGATGGATCACCAGTTATATTTTTACTTTTTTTTACTTTTGGGGTGAAGGGGGGCTTTTTTTTTAAAAAAAAAAAAAAAAAAAAAAAAAAAAAGGTTGTTTGTTCATGCAGCTGGGGCTTTTGAAAGGCTCAGAAGCCAATCTGATTAAAAACAGCACTTGGCTAAACTCTGCAAAATCCTACAAGCAAAAAAAAAGTTTAATCCTCTTGTGCACAATGCATAAAGGATCTGCTCTTTTCTTTTTGTAATGTTAGAGCTACAATTATTTCTGGAGAACTTATCATTTCCCTCTCTCCTCTCATCCCTTGCTGCACCCCCTTGTTATGCTGATGGGATTAAAGTGTCTGCTCTTGAAAAGTGTAACTGAGTTGTTATTGGAAAAGAGAAGTGGTATGTTGCAATTCTAGAAATATAAATAACTTTGTTTCAACTGTTCTCTACAGCATCAGCAGAACAGAAATCAAGTGTGGTGGCAGCTTTTTCTCTTTCTACACAACTTGGCCTTAAATGTGGAGGCGAACAGGAACCGCACTGGGCAGAGGTGAGCTTCACCCACCTGTTTCAGGCCACATCCAGTCTGCAGGGAGCACTGAACAAACACTGGTTCGGGGGAGAGACATGCACACCGCCGGCCGGATGTGAGGACTCTGAAATTCTTATACTCGTCTTCAAGTTTGGGGTTTTATGGACTCTTCTTTGCTGCTCCCTGCCTTGTGAGGTGGGGAGCTCTTGTCCAACACTGTCGAAGGAAAGCCAGAATGTGGATGTGTTTGGTAAAGCTTGCTGCTGGTTCCCCGCACCGATAACCTCTGTGCAGGAGAGGCAGGTATTAGGCTAACAGTTTCCTCTGCCCTGTGTGTCACTCAGTGATAGAGTGCAGGAGAGTCATTTTGACTGCTAGTTAAAAAGGATGTCTGAGGACTAATGACTTTGAACATCAAACGTACTTTGGGAATCTTCACAAGCAGAGATGATTCCTCCATGATGAAAGTTCTTTTTAACAACGAAAACATTTCAGTAGCTTATATTCAGCAGGTTACTTGTTTTCTGAATGGATTTATTTCTTTGCATCTTAAGTGAGGGAAAATCACAAAGAAATACAATCTCCTCAATCTTTCCATTGGGCACCAGTTGCAGCTCTCTCATATGAAGTTATTCTTTGTCATTGCTGCCAATACACCAAACTGTTTCAGTAGAATGTTCTTGAAAACATTCCTGGAGTTATTGGTGACTATTAACTTCTGTCCCTCTTCACTTCCAATTGAGTACTCACAATACCCATAAGCCAGCATGAAACTAAAACCATGGAATATGACACATGTCATTTTTTCTACAATGCTATTGTAAATGCTTTTATTAGTTTTATGATGAGTGGTTTTGTTTGTTTGTTTCTCCCTCTTGTCACCATAATGTGGTTGGTTGGGAAGGCTTAGGTCCCAGGCGTCTGATTAGAATTGCTTTAGGATTTGATGTGAATGTTAACTAGCAGCTGGTTTGACACATACACTGTACAAGCAATTTGTCCACTACTCCACTAAGTAGTGTTTGGAGGCAAACACTGACCAGCAGCAATAATATTACTTCATGAGAGACCTTCTAGTGGTTCCTACTTCATATGCACTCAGAAATTTGTCCATGTGATTGACACTATTGGACCAGCAGAGGAAAATAACCCTACCAAAACGATGCAGCCTTACAGATCTAAGGCTTCCTCTGTGCAGCCTTAAATATCATTAGTTCACAAACCCAGTGGTAACTAAGGTAAAATATTAACAGAAAAAACAATACAGACTTCATTTTTCAGACCACTTCCATATCTCCACTGCACCTTGTTGTAGATCTCAAATTACAAAACTAGCTTAAGGAAGATCTTTCCAGAGATTTGCTCTTTAACCCCATTACAAATGTTAACTTCAGCTGTTGAGAAATTTTTCTATCGGTTGACCCTGAAAAATAGGCATTACTGTAAGAGAAGAGTAGTTTACTTGCACATACACTTTCTCCTCCATTCCTCTCTGCATATCCTTTTATAATTCATGCTTTCTCTGGTATTTTGTATGATGTCATCAATGCACTATAGTGTATGGTAACAATTTGCTGAACACATTTAAATGTGGACTTTCTCCCTCTTTTCCAGCCGCATTTTCTTTATCTGCATCCTGCTTTACTGTGGCAAAATGTGCTTCAGCTCCCCGAAAGAGGTCTCAAAGCCTTTTTCACTTTCATATATTCACAATTGCTCTCGTGCAACATAATGAGAGTTTGTGAGAAAAGCTTTTTTTCTCCTTTTATGTTATTTTTTTCTAGCTAGGGCTAGAGTAATATGTTTGTCCAGGATGATTAATAATTCATGCAAATGAATCTCAAGTAATATTTTAGGGGGTGGGTTTTAGGATGGGGGGAGGTTTTTGGGGGGAGGGTGTTGTTTTGGTTTTTAAATTGTTTCTTTAAGCATGTGCACTACAGAGTTACCCAGAGGGATACAAGTGCTATCTGTTGCCAACTATGTTGCAGCAGTATGAGAAGCCAATCTCTACCCATGTTTTACAGAGATGAGGTTTTCCATACCTTGCTTTGCGCAGTCTGCTTGGAGTAAATGCTGTTTATTGGAGAACAAGGACTTTAGTGGGGGCGAAAGCCTGAGGGGTAGTGTGAGAACAGACTGAGTTGGGGGCCCCTAAGAAACTGGATGCTAAGGGCAAGACTCCTAAAATAGGAAATCTTAAAGAGGCTGGAGTGAGTGTGCTGAGGCTCAGGGAGCAATGCAGCTGTGTTGCCAGCATGCTCCAGGACTTGATGCTTGCATTTTCCCACTGGGTGCCATGGCTCCTTTATCGGGCACAGTCACAGACCAGTAGGTCAAAGCTTCATCATAACAACCCCACAAACTATGAAGGACTCAACAAGTGCATCTGACGCCTAAAAAACGTCATGAGGTTCCTGCTTCCCCTCTGCTTTGTCTTGACTGCGAAACAGGCCAATAATACCAGTACCTGCTCTGAATACATAAGCTGGAAAGTAGGTCTGGTATTGGCACTTTCTGGTATTGCAACCCTACCGGTTATTCTAGGACATAACTGTTCTTAACACATGTGGAGAAACAAATACCTGAAATTGTTCAGCAGTCAGGCTGACTGCCTGAATAGAATCACTTGGCTCAGGGAAAGACACAACTTTGCCAGTCCGTATTTCCCATTGTAACAACAAACTTATCAAAATTGGTCATGCCAAGGTCTTTAGTTAAAATCTCCTCAAACAACAATACTTCATTGGAGACATAGAGCTACTCCTAGACAAAGGCTGACTTCCTGCAATACGCATGGTGGTTAATGTTGCCAGAGATTTGCAACCACTGATAATATATTTGAATTATATTCCATATCTGCATATCTTGGAGCAAGGAAATACGCTCTGTCAACCCAAAATTCTTATTTTGCTCTTTGTAGACATTATGGGGCAGTCTGGTTTTTCACTTGAGGAAAAGGAGCTGTTTCATGCTTACAGTCTCACCTACTTGAAGAAATAATGGGTACTTGTTATTTATTTTTTCCTTCTGGCCTGGTCAGATGATTCTGTCTTCTCTGGAGGGTGAAAAAAAGATTTCACATGTTTACTAACAAATACACAAATGTGCATCACTCGTGATCATCCTTTTGTTTGACACCCATCCTGTGTTTGTAAGGACCGTTCAGCATGCATTGAGATCTCAGAAAACCTCTTACAGTGTGACCACAGACACAGGCCAATTGTTCAGGGAAACACGTCCAAGGAGCATGGATTAAGTTCTGTTGGTGAGGGAATATGATCAATTTTTTTTTTCATACTAAGTTGTCTTCATGAAAGAGTGGATACTGTTTTTCTGTGTCGTAAATCTACAACCTAGCAATTGGAGAAAACAATGGGATCTTCCTTCTACCTGCAAATACCTACAAATACCTAATTTTAACAGTCAGTTTTTAAAAAACAAACAGAAAAAAAAAAAAAAATCCAACAACTTGAGCTGCTGACAACAGCAGTATTAAAGTATCCTACTTGCTTTTCCCAGATCTCCAAAATGGGTTCAGACCTCAGCTCTCTCTCCTTGAGAGATAGCCTGGTGTCCCTTCTCAACTTCTCACCCTTTTGGGCATCTTGTAACCTTGGCCATCCCTGGATCCAGTAAACCTGGTGCTAGTAGGGAATAGTTAATTTCACTTTTGTTTCCTGCAGTTCTTGAAAGCTGAGCCAGTAATTGCAAAGTGACTGCCCAGGGATAGCTGCAAACTGCCATTAATAGGATACAAAAAAGGCAGAAGATAAATGAATTTGCATAGAAAGGATTGCATTTGGATTTGTGTGCAAGGCTGCAGACTTCTCCCAAGGTGCTGATAATCTCTGGTAGCACTGAATTCCTGCATAACTGATCACATATCTCAGTTTAAATAGCCTAGTGGGTTAGATGTTTGTTGGCTAAACTCTCTGCAGAAGAATCCTGAAAGAAACTTCCCTATCAGCCTTTGCTTTGGAGATGTGTATCAGCAGGGGACTAGAGTAGAGGAACCCAGTCCTTAATGTAGAAAGGGTGATTGTGAAGACTTCTCTCTTTCTTTCTATTGGCTGTTTGCTTTGTCCCTTCAAACCTGAATTAAAGGTATATGAGATGTGTGCATGTGAAGTTAATACAGTCCTGTAGCAGTCACTGGAGCTATAGCCAAGGTTGAAATTCATTCTGTATGGGCCTTGGCACTCATCTGGGAAACTACATATTCTGCCCATTAGTAGACTCGGGAGAAGATTTTCCTTTTTTAAGAAAAAGGAATATTACTTGAGGCAGTTGTTGCAGTGTGACCCCCTCAACAGCAATTAGTTTCATCCTTCTGCTACTGGTCCCGACCAATATCTTTGCCGAAGTTGTAGGAATGGTGAGACTGTGACACGCTGGATGGTGTGTTATTGGGTATTTTTAAAGGGAAAAATACAGGCAGCACATAATTTACACGCTAGAAGCCAAATGAGAATGCGGAAATGTGGAGGCCTTGCCTTATTTTACCAGCTATATTTACTGCAGGAATATAAGTAAAAGGACCATGGGTTGTTCATTCGTGTTAATGGGAGCTCTGCACATGGACCAAGCACTATGGAGTATTAGCATAATTTGACAACAAAGGTTTATATCATTCAAGAGTCTGTTTTTCAAACTGGCATTTGTGCTCATTTGCAAAAATGCCTACCTATTGCCTTTGATTGTTTTAGCAAGAAGAAATACCTCAAGGAATTGATAAAAGATCACAGAACAATCTTTTACAGTTCCTAAAGACTTCAGTGGTCTCTGTTTCTTTGGTTTGCATGTGTTCACACAGGTGTTACACAGCTCAGTTCTTCTCCACCAGGAAAAGCAGAAAAGACCAAACACATCAAATGCACTGGAATGTAATTGTGTGTGTGGGTGTGCGTGGGTGCGTGTGTGTGTTCTTAAACTGAATGCAGTCTGACATCCCCTACCCCTTCTTTCTTCCATGTGCCTCACCTTCCTCCTTAGCCACAGAAAGGAGGGTCTCTTCCTGTGAATCCTATGCTGGAAGTTGGTTTCTGGGAAGCGGAACCTAATGTTCTGTGGGCTGTTTTTTAAAGCCATGTTTTCAGTTCTGTCTTCAGACTCCTAGCTGCCTTTGGGGAATGGAGGGGTGGGAAGAGTAGATTCTTAAACTGTTTTTAAAATCTATTATGAAAATGTTGCATGTATAAAGTTATTCTTAAATCTAAAGGAGTCTCCCTGATTTGTGGACATAGCTCCAGGAGAGCATCATCACAGATTCCTCAGCTCCAGTTTTTATCAGACTATTACGAAAGGAAAAATTGATGACAAAAGGGGAGAGACTTTGTGTGATGTAAAGATACCGTTGTCAGTATCTTTTTAAATAAAAGTCAGAAAGTAGGCTTCAAATAAGGAAATTTCAAAACACTCAAGGGATTTGAATGTCTGTTTCCACTGGATGCATTTGGAAATCCTGCCACTAAATTTGAGTTTGGGTGTCTAGACTGTTGGGATTCCTTTTTCTGTGAAACCAATCGTGCATCTTTTCTTCTGTTCTTTTCGGTGGTATGGAGTACACTCTCTCACGTTTCTTGGTAAAATTCACTGATGAGAATACTGTGAAATGTGGCTTCACGTTTTCTCCATTCCCCTCTTGCATGACTTTTCTATTTTTGTGGGATACAATTAAAACTTCAGAGTCCTTCATCTGGAAAACCAAAACGGTAAAGTGAACTAGAATTTACAATGTACTTGATAAACTTCCCGTGACCACAGTGGAAGGTTTCCCCACGATTTCTAATGTTCACCAGAATATTATACTGTCCTGCTGCAGAAGTAATTCTGATGCTCT